CTGACTTGCACGAAAACTCAAACGGACCAATCAATGCTTGACATGAATCCAGTCATTGATTGAGTAGCTTCAGAGATGGTGGCAGGAAAAGAGAATAAAAAGAAAATGCAAGCAACAAAAAAAAAACGAACAGGAAAAAAAAAACAAAAAAAAAAACACAACAGATATAATGTTCTGTCAAGTGAATGATAGGGAATGGTATATTTTCAACATGTCGCCCACTTCTTCCCCCATGAATTTTCCTATTTAAGATGCTGCCAAAACTCAAGTAATTTGTTTCTCCTGGGAAAGGGATTTTTTGGCAGAATGTTTGAGTTTTTGCCTTCTTTTTTTTTATTTATTTAATACTTATTTTTATCTATTAATACACACATTGCTTGAAATGATTGTCAGCTAATGGCAACTCATCGATACCTGATGACATTAAACACCTTTTAAGAATTGGCATCCTATCTAAAGAACTTGGCCAGAGTCATTATGCAATCTTGTAAATAATTCTACCTAGACAAAAGCAAATTGCCACATATTATAGCTTATGGGAGTAACAGGAAAAAAAGGTGTCCTCTCCCTCCAAGCAGAAATATTCCAGAAATACTAGTCATTTATATAAGTAAAAGTTAAGTATTGGCTCACCTTCATATGTAATAGAAGAGTTTTGAAAAAAAAATGCATTAACAGTTATTTTTAGATTCTGTAGGTGTTGGATGTGCTGTGTGGATAAAGGCTTTGAATGAGAATTTGGAGAGCAAAGTTTGAATTTCAACCAGGTTCATTAGATTCACTTACACACAAATACTCTTGGGAAAGGTATGAATCTATCTCTTATCTCCCCAGCTATGGGTTGAATAGAAAGACAAACTTGGTTAGCAGTCAGTGTAAAGCAGATGGCAACCTAGTGCAGGAAAATCTTCTGCTTAGTTGGTAATCAATCAGAAGAGACCTGATCGCCCAAGTGTGTATCACGTATAGCACTTAATTGATTGAGGTTGGTTCATGGCACAGAAAGTGGAATAAGAGTGCCAAGATGGAATTCTAGCTTAGCACTAATACCCTTGGAAAAGGCACAACTCCATCTTCTTTTAACTTTGGATAAATAGAAGAGACTCACTTTTGCATTTAATAGGCAGGGAGATTTTTTTGCCAGTCAATTTTTTTAATGAACTTCTGTTGAAAAATGATCTGTAAGAGGCTACAAGAGGACAAACTTTTTACTAATCATATCTTTTTTTTTTTTTTGTTTGAATGAGCTGAAAACTATGAGTAAACTAACAAGTAGAATTGCCCCTAAACAATTAGCCTATTAATGCCCACAGTCATATTTTGGGGACCATAGTCATTAAGGAGTTGTAGGTAGAGACTGATAATTTATACCAATTTTTTTTTCTAAAAATGCTGGTATTAATTATGGATTTATATAATTAATACCAGACTTTTTAGAAAAAACTATAATTAATACTGAATTTTTATTTAAATTTTTATAATTATAAAAACTAATATTATCAGTTTTTAAAATGATATTGATTATATTGAATACATAATATTATATTATATATTAATTATATATATATTACAAAAATTATATTAAATATTATAATTAATATCATCTTCTATGTGTCCAGGACATGTTTCATCCATGGTATTCGCAGCATCCTTCTGTAGAACCACATTTCTGTTTTTTCATCTCTCCTTCATCTGTGAGGAGATTGTCCAGCATCCACTGCCATACAGGAGGACTGAGACTACATAACAGTTCAGTACTGTTTTCTTTGTTTTTAATGAAATTTTAAACATTCTTTAATGATACCCTTGTCAAATTTGGACTTACTTTGATACTTAAGCAAGAACAACAAGAAAAATGCTTCTACTACCATTTTCTGTGCAGTGTAGACAATATAACAGACAGTATTTTATGTACTTGGAGTTCCTCTACAACAAAACAATCTTAGTCACTGCCAATGACTTGAGGTGGAACAACTACATTGAATCAATAGCTGCATCTACTGCAAGGAAAGTCAGTTTACTGTGTTATGCCATAAGATTTTTCTTGTCAGAATCAATCTTACACATCTACAAATTCATCCATGCACTGAATATTGTTGCCTCTGCTGTTCATCTCAAGGTTCTTGACAAAATCCAAAGAAGAATCTGCAATGTAATCGGTCCTGACTTGACATCTCAACTTCAGTCACTTTCTTATGAGTGGGAAAGTAAAGTTGAGATGCCAGGTCAGGATCTATAACATTACAGACACTTTTTTAAATTTTGTCAAGAATATCAAGGGATATAGTAGCACTAGACCAGATATGGCAGCAGTATTTAATGCACAGATGAATGGTAGATTTATAAATATGCAAGATGGATTCTGACAAGAAAAATTGTCTGGCAAGACACAGTGAACCAAATTTCCTAGCAGTAGACTAAACAATTGATTCAGAAAACATGAGCCAATGCAGGAACAAAATGGTGCTCTCCTGGATTAATAAAATATTAATAAAACTGACTAAACAGACTTGTTAGTCAATCAAATACTAACCTTCAAAAATTACTTTCCAGGTTCTTTGCAATTTTTTTCATTGCTTAAAAATAACAAGAATTGAAATTTATTAATAGATGTACATTATGGAAGATGTACAATATATTGTCACTCTTAGATTGCAAGCAGGAATAGATTCTTTCTTTTTCAGTTTTGTGATCTGCATGAAAAAATTATTTTATTTTCTATTTATATAGTTGTATTTTCTTTATATATATAAAGAATTATTTTCTTATATTGTATAAAAAAAACATTGAAAGTTCACAATACAGTATCTAAGATTGTCTCAGATTTTCATGATGTTTCATACTTCTATCTCTGCCCTGAACAGCTAAACATTGCAATACTCCAAGTTGACCTCTGATAAGTACGGTGAAGTTTCAATATTTTTGATACAATAATTATTACCCTACATAGCTCTGCTATTAAGCACTTTTTTGTCTAAAATTCAGTTTGTCTTGACTTACATCAAATTATATAATTTTATGTATATAAACTTTTTTTGTCAAAAATTCTGTTTGCTATGACTTAGATTAAATTATATAATTTTACGTATACCATATATATATATATATTCAATACAAGTAGCACGACTGAGTTTCATGCACAATTCAATCTTCAGGTTCTGAATTGAGACTGATTGTTACATAATTTAAATGTGTTAAATATATCAGATTTCAATGGTAATGTGGTCCATATATTATACTGGTGTTTCTATTTAAAATAAACACAAGAAAAAATATTCCACTCAATGTGCAATTATATATATATATATATATATATATATATATACTTAATAGAAATCTTATGAGTATAAGAAACTATACTCACTCAGAAAACATTCAGTGCATTGATTTGCAAATAAACAAAGGGAAAAAAGGTATAAAAAAAAGAAAGAACCAAGAACATGTACGTTAACCGAAAATAATCGTCCAGCATACGAGTTCAAGGCCCAAAGAAAAAAAACCCGATGCGAGTATCCAAAAAACTAAAAAAAGTGCTCAATACAATGAGTAGAGCAAACCTAGCTAAACCTACAGAGCCAGACAAACCTACCAAGGTTTATCTATCTATCTATATATATATATATATATATACTCAGAATTCATTGATAATCCTCTGGTTCTAATGTTGTGTCATATTCTGTGATGAATTATGCTATGTATTTTGCTAATATCAATTTTTTTATGCATTTTGTTTTTAAGGCAATGTACTTTATGGAAAAACCCTAACTCATCATCAGATCTTTGACACCTGATCAACACTTTCCATTCTTGTACACAACCATCTATTTAAACTCCCCTTTGAATATCCAACTCCAACTTTGGAAAACTGATTATATATCTATCTTCCTTTTTTTGTTTTACTTTTCTGGGAACACTTTGTCTAAATTTGATTCAATGGCAAAAATATATACATATATTTGAAATTCTATTACTGTACATTACATATCCAACGTTTACTGTTTTTTCCACCAACTTCTTTACCCAAAAGCAAAATTGCTGCCCACAAAATGCAGTCACATGCAAACCTATATAGATGAAACCAAATTTGTAATCTTTCACCTTATAATGTTTAAAAAAAAATATATGTAACACGTTTGAAAGAGGGGAAAAAAGACAGATTTGTATTTTATGCTTGAAACAAAAAAAAGAACATGGCTGACAATTCCTTCTGATTTTTCACCACTTATCTCCCTTTACTTGCTGCATGCTGCTTGCTTATTCGCTATTTACATCAAATGCTGTTTGTCAGATTGTTTTCGTTGCTATTTCTTTCCTAATTCTACCTCAAACTTATCTGCCTTTATTGTTTTATTCACCTGCTTTTAATTCCTTCCTTACTCATAAGACCTGAAGGTAAGTGAATAAATCTATCATAACCATGCCTTTATTTATTCTCTCTCATATCTTTCTCTTTTGTATATATATATCTATATATATATATATATATATATATATATATATATATATAATATTGTTTTTTCATTGTGCAATATCTCATATATGTGCTCTGCAAAAATTTTTATATACTGTTTATAATCAACATTTTCATTTATATTTATATCTGTATTGGCAGGGAAAAAATTTAAACATCTTTATTCCTTGTAAAAATAAATCTAATAATTTCTCCTCTTAAACCTTTATTGTATTTCTTTATTGTTGGCTACAAATTTTATCTATCTTTGAAGTCTTTAATATATTGCATATGTGTTCTGTAAATATGTTTACACTTTGTAATAATAACAAGAACAACTAATGTTAATATTATCAGCAGCAGCAAGATCTTTTTGTATGAACTTTTTTATTATCGCTCTAAAATACTTTTTACTTGTCAAATAATAAGCCAGTCTCATGCAAACACATTTTTCTCTTTATTTTAAGTATATAAAATATATATCAAACCCCTATTATTCTTCTATGTGTCATGTTCCTTCATGACATGGTTGATAATATCTCTATCGGCTTACAGCCATAACACATTGTAACACCAGTTCTCATACAATCACCAAAGTTAAGCAATATCGAGCCTGGTCAGTACATCGATGGGTGACCACGTAGCAATACTGTAAGCTTGGATGTGCAGTTGGTGTAATGGATAATGACTCAAAATTGGATATCGATGAGCCAAGTTCCAGTCACTTTCATTATATTCATGCGCAAATACCCTTGGGAAAGGTATGAATCCACCACTTCTCCCCCAGCTATGGGTTAATTAGTAAGACTTGTATCACTAAACCATTATCATCTCCCCCACCAAAAAAATATTCTTACAATCTTAAAAATATTTTCTAGCTTTAAATAACCTGCAATGCATTGATAAGCTGTAGAAAATTAATGAATAAAAAATAGTTTTCTTATTAATTTAACGTTATACAGTGAAATTTTCAAATAGAAATTCAGCTAATAATTTTTTCATGTTACAAGCCCCATATTTGTATATAAATACAATAATCAATAATAAAATTTTCTTATTTTCTGTTTCTTAAATGGATATGTTCATTTTCGTCATTTTACACAAGACTTCTTTAGTGAAGTTTATCTTCATCCCAAAATAAATAAATTAGATATTATAATAAACTAATTCCTCTGTGTAACAGTAAAATCAACACATTGTAGTGCAAATTTAGTTAGCACAATAAATTTAAAATGCCCTAACTTATTGAATAAAACAACTTCAAATCTTGTCAAACCACTGGCTTCTGACTAATTTTTACTTACAAACTGACAAAAAATGTCTGTCAAGAAAGATACATTAACTACTAATTAGATAGTTATTTCCCTGAATTTTATTAATAAGAAAAATAGGAGAATAAGCTAGAAAGAATTCTTTACCTGTTTCTGCTTCATCAACCATTGTAGCTTGTGATGATACTAATTTTTACTACTTATTATTAAAGTATTTGAAAATAAGGCACATGTATGAAAAATGCAATGTGTATCTATATAACACTTTTCACAAAATGCTTATATATTTTCTGATCAAAGGCCAAGTGCACATGTCCTACAGTCTGTTAAAAAATTGATACATACTATGATATGTACTATGCTTAAAGTTCATCCAATACAAGGCTCAAGAGGCACACAAGGTAGAGTGTTACTGAATGAGGTGTATGAACATAAGAAGAGGAAGTAAATATTACAAGTATATGGCAGATAGATAACTATTGAACCTAGAAGAGGTTAACATTGTAACATTTGAGAAAGCATCCATGTGGGAGTCTGTTCTACAAAATAGTGGTTCTTGGGAAAAAGCTTTCAGAGGGGAATGCCCTTCTTACCAAAGGGATACATAGGGAATGAAGACGATTTAATCCTGTGGTCATAACGAGGGGTGGGGTCTGGGCTGATAAAACTAAAGAATGAAGCTCATCAGAATATTTGCCATGGAAATAGAGTAGAGAGAGGCTGTGTAAAAGAAACAGGGTCGACAATATCATCCCCTAAAATGGCCATGTAAATGTTTTTGAACTTTGTAGACATGACAAAGTGATGACTGTGCAGATCCAGCCCAGATATGACAGCAATATTCCACATTGGATTTGATCTGACACTTTTATTTTTTTAAGCAAATCACCCCAAGCAAGGTGGAAGTGCCACTAGTACGCAAGGGTTTACGGAGAGTGAGACTAAGAGGAGTGTTTGGTAAAAGGATAAAGAAAAGGACAGGGATCAAGGTCAAGGCATCAAAAGATGTCGATTGGCATTACATTTGAAGATTTGAAGATTATAGCTATCAGGGAAGCAATTGATAGGAAGGGAGTTCCACTGACGGGAAGTGCGAGATAAGAAGCTGTTGGTGTAGAAGAGATGGCTACATTTAGCCAGTTTCAACAATAAAAGGATGGGACCGAGATGCCAGCCTAGTAGCATACTTAGTGAACTATGTCATTTTGGTGACATAATAACTGTGAATTCATGCAGTTTGGGAACCATTAAAAATAGTTCGTATAAACATAATACTTAATAAAAGAAGTCAGATACTTTCTGGAGTGTTAGAATGAAACAACCAATTTTACAGCATCTTCATCAATGGATTGTTCCACTTAAAGTCTAGGGTGAACTTGATGATACTTATATGAATAGAAAGGAAGTAGATATCAACCAGAATCTGCCAAAGGTGACATTTATATAAGTATTAATAAAATTAACTCATTAGATATGCCTCAGATAAGAATCAGTATATCAAAGTATTTTCAAACCTAAAATAAAATTGGAAAACGGTTGGCATAAAAATCATAGATTTGTGAATATTAGATAGGTTTCTATAGCCTAACCAATTTTCCAAACCTCCTTACCAAAATTGGCCCTTTAATAAAGAACAGATTCACAACAAAACATTACATCTATAACATCCCATTGCAAAAGTTAGATCCCTTACTAAAGAATGGTTTCATAGCAAAACATTGCATCTGCAACATGCCATGCAAATGCAGAATTGTCCTACACGACAACAGCTTAGTGGATTAAAGTGTCAGTTCATGAATTTGGTGACATAATAACTGTGAATTCATGTAGTGTATACAGGGTGAGCAGTAATTGAGTAGTACTAAAAATAAAAACTAGATAAGATATCCCTAGACATGAGCAGTGGAATGAGAACAATCTAACCTGTAGATTAAATAAAGGGTTCAATTCAGAATCCCTTGTATGTTACCTAGATCAATATATACCTGACAAAAGCATAAGTGTACAATGGCCAAAACATGTTAACAGCAAAGATGGACAATAGTCCAAATGTAAATAATTATTTTATCAGTATGATATTCCTTGAAACATTCCAGACACAAATCTATTGTGCATTCTTTGCACCATAGAAATAGTTCAGAAAAGGATGCAGCCTTAAGAATCCTAGAGTTGACAATTTGATGAAAGAATGGTGTTTATATTATTGGAAAAGTTTAAATCATTAATTGATGTTATCCATTGATGATGTTCACTGTTTAAGGGTTAAAGATAAATCATTGCAGTTGTATAACAAACATATAAAAAAAGAAAAGACAAAAGTCCCATAAACCAGAAAAACCTCACAGCCTTCTTCAATATTCCACAATGCAACAAAGACAAAAACTAATCAAATATTATAGACAAAATTATAATAAAAAAACATGAGAAATATTTAACTACTCATTGAATATTCAGTAATTATTTATGCCAAATGGGTATTGCTTAATTTTAACATACAAAATTGACTGCAAATAAGATAGGTCTTTCTCATTAATCGAAATCAAGAGTTTTATGCTTGATCAAACTCATTGGATGCCATTAAAATTAATTGAATCAATTACAAGCTTTTCCCTTTGCATTTTGTAGTACTAAAGAGTACTACAAAATGCAAAGGGAATTGAACTGTAGAATTTTTATCAGTACAATATCAAAGATGTTCTAGCTGACAATGACAGGGCCTATCCAGTATTATTGGACAGCAAGCAAATCAACAATTTCTTTCTTCCACAGGTAACAAAAATATTGAACTACACAGACACACACTTGAGAGTAGCGAAATCAGTGTCCTATCCACAGAGCTACCACACTCAAAGATATATTTCTAAAAAAATACATAAACAAACAGAAGATTCTTTAGCTTTCCTTTACTAGACTTTTATCTTTGATCTTTTATTTTTGGGGGCTGCAAGGTTATTGCCTGAATTTCTTGCAGTCGAGAATCAATAGCTACATTGTAATTTGCCTTGAGTGTCAGGCATTAACAGATTGTTACTAATGGTGCCATGCACTCTTACTTCCAAGAGTCATTCTGCAAAAACACTCTTTCACTTTCTTCTTTTTCAAGAGTATCATCATTCACAGAGAAAGACAATGGAACAGTCAGCCATAGTTTCTCAACTCAACCAATTTCTTTCTCTTACTTTTATCTCATATATATATATATATATATATATATATATATATATATATATCTTTATATCTTTGATAGTTTGATCAAATGTTGAGAAATGGGACAGACCAAGAACTTTTCAGCACTCCCTTGTATCTCAATAGATACAAATGAGTGCTAAAAAATTATTGGCCAGTCTCACTTCCCAAAACTCAAACATTTGAAAGGAAGAGCTTCTTAGGTAGGCTGAATTTTTTAACACTCCCTTATTCAGAATCATCACTTGATAAACACTAGAAGTGTCGAAACAAAATTGCTACTTTTGTAGTGATCTTATAACATGCATATGTTATAAAATTGAATTTGTAGGTCTGATGAATTGGATCGTATTTACGATTTCAATGGAATAAATTATGACCATGGAATATTAATGTTTAAGCCTTTTTATTATATCCTTACTCTGTCCTAGACATTGAGTTCTACCTGGATTCTTCCTCTTGGAATTTTTATTCTGAAAATATACATGTATGGGTATTTATATATTTTGCATATGTATGTATATTTTCCACTAATATTATCTATATATATATATATATATATATATATATATATATATATAGGATTTATACAAATAGAACATTTTTCACTTAGCTGATTCAGCATCTGGACTCCAGAGTTTAACAGATGTATCCTCCAGCAATTGCTCCGCTACTTTTTATATTAAGTTAAAAAAATGATTTATGCACTTTTCATTGATTTTTTTCTTCTTTCATTTGGCCAAAAGTCTTACTAATATACAATAAATATTATTAATCTTGTTATCAATATTATTGTCTTTTATCTCTCAAATTTCTTTAATTGGCCTCCTATATATATATGGAGAGAGAGAGAGAGAGAGAGAGAGAGAGAGAGAGAGAAGCCAAAAGAAAAACTTATCTTAGCCAACTTAAATCTTTATTCATATTGTTCTTTTACAGATATTTTTAGTTATATTTAAAATTACATATATATATATATATATATATATATTATAAATTTACTAATTTAAAAATATGGTCCCATCACTACACAGGAACTACCATGTTTTAAAAACAAACTAAAAACTCTAAATTTAATTTTAGAATTAAATTAAAATCCTTAGTACTGTCTCATTTTCAAGCAAAAAATCGCTTGAAAATGAAACAATTTTTTAAACATGATAATTCCTGTGTAGTAATGGAACCATATTTTTA